ATTTCACGGTATGTTCTTGATTAATGTAATATGCACATTATATGTGTAATATATCAAACATATTTCAATATTATTCACATATTCAGTCAGTAATGCTAAACTTATTAGGAAGGAACAAAATGACAAATGTTTCGATGTAATAGGAGAGCAATTAGCACTCTTTTCAAGTTAAAGCAGAGGGACAAGAAAGTACTATGTTGAGAAAGAGTTGAACAGCCACAATAAAAAGTTTATTAAACTTAGCGTCGCAGTAATTTTTTCTCTTTGAAAAATTTTATTGAAATCTCAAGTGCAACTAATTAAGAGATGACAAAATATGCAATCAAATGAATTATCACTAAGATCAAGGGCCTCCGAATTTCTCAATTTTGACAATCTGTAGAAAATCTTGCAATGAAATGAGAACACAATTGCATCTGCAAGTGATGGCATTGGAGCAATTGATAGGGATGGAACAATTGGAAGTGTTGAAGCAACATGTCAATGATTTTCCATCTTTGGAGGAGGCCTCTAACAACGATGAATGCCTTTTGTTCTTTTTAATTACAAGTAAGAATTGGATGTTGACAATGAGAACTCGCCACCCTTTTTATGATGATATTGTAATTGACGAGTTTCAGATATAGATGGTGAAACCGTGAAAGTTACGATAGCCCTCCAATTGGAATGAGGAACCTAATGTTAATTTCGATAAGTGGTCTGAAAAATCCAGACTTAACCATGAATTTGTTGAAGTTATTATGGGTAGTTCTCAAAATTTGTTTGGTGGAGTAGGCTACTTTTACTAACAATCAAAAATTTCACCTCCATCGTGCACTAATCTTAAATTTTGCACATAATGTTGATTATTTTGCAGAAAATGGTTTAATAATTAAAGTGTTTTTTCTAAATTTTATACTTCAAAGATTACAAATTTGGACTACCAGTGATCTTGACATGTCGAGGACATGTTAGCAATTTCATTTCTGTAAATTTTGTTGCTCTTCAATTAATTCTAAATATGTCATCAATTATCAATTGAAAATCGTGCAGTATGGAAAAAGGGTAGTGCTAGGCTTACAGGGAATTTCAGCCAGAAAGTCACCAGATTGAGTTGGCAGCAACTATTCCTCCCTTAGAATATCTATATTGCCCTTAATGAAATATATTGCAGGTTAAGTCATGTATCTTTTAATTCTTTTCATTTGTGACCACAATAATTATTTTATTGAATGTTCTTTTAATTTTTCTATCTGTTCTAAATATACTCTATATTTATTAGCTTTTCATAAGCTCTCGG